AACAACAAAACCGAGATGCCAGCCCCGCTGCCCAGACACTTGGCCACAGTCACGCTGCCCGCCGCCGGCGCCTTCCACAGACGCCGGCTCTCGAGCCCGACGCTGTCCAGCGCCCCCGCCACGGCACTGGAGGTGTGGTGGGAGGCGGCGTGGCCGGCGTGAGCTGTGTGTGCGCGGCCGCGGGCCCCGAGGGTACGGCGGGCCGCAGGGACCTCCCTGGCACCCAGGCACGCCACGCCGCGGACTGGCGCAGCGCGCCTGTGCAATGGCAGGTCTGCCTCCCCACCTCACCCGCGCGGGCGGCCGGCCAGGGACGCCGTGGAGATGCCCACGATGCGACCTCGCAGGCCCGCCTCCCCAGCAGCGTCGGTCGTCTCCTTAGACGTGCACAGACAGCCTCACCGCACGCACCCTGTGGGCAGTCGCCCGTGAGCTGGGATGCCCGCTCCCAGCCGCCGCGGCCCGCGCCCGCCCGCGCCCCCCGCACCCCCGCGGCGACGCCGCCCGACCGCCCGCTGGGCACCCTTTGCACCCTGGGAGACGGTTGTAGTCTGCGCCCAGGTCCTCGCCATAGGCCCGCGCCGTCTTGCGCGCGCAGCACGCGTGACGTTTCCGCCGTGGAACTTCTTGGGCGTGTACTGCTCGGCGGCCGCAGCTTGTGTAGAGAAGGGAAAAAGCGCGGCGAGCTCAGCTCCTGGCGTCCAAGCCCCTGGTGGCTCCTTGGTGATCAGGTCCACGGCGCTGCCACCGCGCTCCTCCAGGCCCCTTCAGCGGCAGCAAAGCGCCTCCAGCACCTGCGGGGCGGGGCTCTGAGCAGCTGGACCGCCTCACGGGGGGCCCTGCCCCGGCCTAGGCGGGTCCTTGGTGCTTCCAAACTGGGCTGGCGTTTTGGGGAGGACCCCAGCCTCAGCCCAGCCCTGCCGCCAGTCCCCAGCCCCCAGCCCTGCCGCCCCCGCCCAGCCCTCAGCCCCCAGCCCTGCCGCCCTGCCCAGTCCTCTGGCCCGGAGCACCCCGGCCTGACCCTGCTGTGCTCGGCGTCCGTGAACTGCTGCACAAAGAAGCACATGGCCTCCGTCTCCGCCTCAGCCTCGCAGCCCGGCGTCAGCTTGGCGCGGTAGCTCTGTGGGGGAGGAGAGGCTGCTGTGCCGGGCTGAGGGTGGCCCAGACCACGGGCGCCGGCGCCCAGACTGGGAGCAGCGGGGAGCTGGCCGGGCTCTCACCTGGGTGTAGGCCAGCACGTAGGTGTGCGAGCCGTCGAACAGGAAGAGGCTGTTGTGGGTGGGGGCCGGGCTCTGCTGGGCCTGCAGCTGGGAGCACATCTCGAAGGCCACGCAGGCTCCGTAGGAATAGCCGGCGATGCGGTACGGCCCCTCGGGCTGCACCTGCCTGATGCAGTCGATGTAGTAGGCGGCGAGGCTGTGGATGCTGTCCAGCGGCGCGGCTGCCGAGAGAGCGCCCGCGGTCAGGGGCCACAGGCCGGGGCACCTGGGCCCGAGGGCAGCCCGGCCGCGCCGCCGCGCAGGTACCTCGCGTGCACTGCAGGCCGTAGGTGGGGACGCTGAGCCTGGCGGCCAGGCTGTGGAAGACGGCGGTGGAGCCCTCGATGGGGTGCACCAGGAAGAGGGGCCGCTCCGAGCTCTGCACCGCGTTGAGCCGCGTCAGGGTGGGGCCCTCGGGGTTCACCAGCAGGGTGCTCAGGTTCAGCTGCGCCTGCTGCCGGGCCGGGCTGCCCTGCTTGGGCGTGGGGGCCGCCGACTCTGAGGACGGGACGGGGCAGACGTGAGCCGAGCCGGACGCAGACGCCGGTGCACACGGAGGCCCCGCCCCGCGCCGCCCGGCTCCCGCACGCACCGCTGGGCGCGTCGCCCTTGGAGGACAGCTCCTGCAGCCGCCGCAGCGTGAGCTGCCGCACCTCGCGCATGGACAGCACCAGGTCGTGCTCGCGCTCCAGCGTCTGGCGCACCTCCACGCTCATGAGCGAGTCCAGCCCCAGGTCGGCCAGCGAGCTGTCCAGGTTTACGCCGGCCAGGTCTCGGATGCCTGTGAAGGGAGGCCGCGGTCGGCGGACCGTGAGGGGTGTGGGGGCGGCTCTGGGGGGCGCAGGAATGGCCTGGGGTGCTGAGCCTCCCATTGCCATGGTTACAGCCCCGCCTGGCCCTGCAGACCGCTGCGCATGACCCTCGGGAGCAAGCTCGCCGCTCGTGCGGGGCACAGGCCGTGGCGCACGGGCCGCGTCTGCGCCCTCCCGGCCGCCCTCACCGTGCCCAGACCGAGGGCCCGGCTCACCCAGGATGTGCGCCACGGCCTTCACCAGGTCCCGCTGGCCGTCCCGGTCCTTGTGGGCGGCGGCCTTCTTCTCGGCCAGCACGAAGCTGCTCAGGACGGCGTAGGGCTGGTGCAGGAAGAGGTCCAGCACCTCCAGGCAGGAGGCGATGCGCTGCGGCAGCGTCCCGCCCACGACCGTGTCGTTGGTGCCCATGGCCTCCAGCACGATGCCCACGTCGCCGATGGCGCCCCACTGCACGGCCAGGCCTGTGGGTGAGGGGGCTGGTGGGCGGGGGCCTTGGCAGGTGGGGAGCGTGGGGGGGGCCTGGCGGGCAGGAGGCATGGGTGGGCCTTGGCGGGCGGGGAGCGGGGGCGTGAGGAGGGGTGCTGGAGACCCACCTGGGAGGCCGTCGTGCCTCCGCTTCTCACAGATGCGCTCCATGGTGGAGTTGGCAAAGCCGTAGTTGGTCTGGCCGGCGTTGCCACGCCCACAGCTCACCGAGGAGAAGGCCACGAAGTAGTCCAGCTCGGGACACGCCTCCCGCGTCACCCTGTGGGCACTGGGGTCACTCCCTGCCAGCCAGCACCCACAGGAGCCCCGTCTGCCCCGGCTCCCGAGGGAAGGGGGAGTCGCGGAGGCTCAGGCCGCGCGGGGGCAGGGCAGTGTGGGAGGCCGCGGGGACGGGGAGGGGCCACGTGGCGGGGGCTGTGCCCACCTGTCCAGGTTCAGGGTGCCGCTGTACTTGGGCTTGCTGACGTCCTGGAAGGCCTCGGGCGTCTGGTTCTCCAGCATGGCGTCCCTCAGCACCTGTGGGGAGGGTCCTCAGCACCGCCCAGGGCCCGGCGGCCCCTCCCCCCACCAGGGGCCGTCCCCAGGCTCCGCCGTGGGGTCCCCCTCACCATGGCCAGGTTGAAGACGCCTCCCACGGGCCCAAGCTGCGTGGCCTCCGCGATGAGGGCCCGGGCGCCCTCCGGCGAGCTGGCGTTGCTGGCGGACACGAGCACCTGCACGCCCTGGCGCCGCCACTCCCGCACCTGCTTGGCCTGGTAGCCTGTGGGGCGAGGGCGGTGGCCAGGCAGGACACACGGCACGGCCCTCCCCGGACGCCAGGCGGGGGGCCTGGGGCACCGCACCCAAGCTCTGGCCAAGACGGGGGACGGGAACGGCCCAGGTGGCAGGAGCGAGTCCCCTCCCTGGCTGGCCCCGGGCCCCCGAGCTGCTCACCTGTGCGGATCCCAGAGCGGGAGGTCAGCACCAGCCTCTGGGCCCCCCGCAGAACCAGCCACTGGGCCAGCTCCAGGCCGAAGCCCCCCAGGCCGCCGGCGATGACGTAGCTCTTATGGGCGGGACAGAAGGTCTTGGCGATGGCCGCCATCACCGTGGGCTCCACCCGCTTTGGCGCTGCCTCCGGCTCCTCTGGTCGCACTGCGCCAAGCGACCCCGGCTCAGGTGCTGCGGGGCGGGGGGGGCGGGCGCGCTGGGGCCCTGGCTCACCTGGATGACGACCTTGCCGATGTGCTTGCCTGGCCATGTGGCGGAGGCGTCCCCACGCCGGCTTGGGGAACACGGTGCACTTGAGGGGCTGCACCACACGCCGTCGCGGATGCCGGCCGCAGGCGCGCCGCACCTCCCCCAGTCGTCGCTGGCCTCCTCGAAGAGCCGCGTCCAGCAGGATGCCGTGGAAGGTCACGTTCTTCAGGAAGATGGCCATGCCCAGCGGGTGGTTGTTGGACAGGCGAACTTGCCGATCTCCAGGAAGCGGCCGTGCTGGGCCAGGCACCCACGCTGGCCTGCAGCTTCTCCTCGCCAGGGAGTTCAGCACCAGGTCCACCCTGGGACGGAGGGTCCCTCGGTCACACCGCTACCCCGACCCCCGGCAGCCCTGCGAGGGGGGGCTGGCCTGGCTGCTCACCCCTCCCGCCTGTGTGCCGCAGCACGTGCTGCTCGAAGACGTGTCCCGAGAGTTGGCGAAGCTGGTGCTGTCCAGCTGCGGGAACCTGGCCTGGAGGTACGCCCGCTTCTCCGCAGAGCCTGGGGGCAGAGGGTGCCGGTGAGCTGGGACCGGGGGCGCTGTGGGACGGACTGGGCGCGCTGTGGGGTCGGGGCCGTGGGCCGGGGCTGGGGCGCTGTGGGGTCAGGGGCGCTGTGGGCGGGGCTGGGCGCTGTGGGCAGGGCGCTAGGGCCGGGACTGGGGCGCTGTGGGCGCTGGGGCGCTGTGGGGCGGGGCCTCACCCACGGTGGTGAGACCCGGCAGCCCGGCTGAGGGCGATGGTGATGGCGGCTTGGCCCACCCGCCCGAGCCCGAGTGGATGAGCACGGTCTCGCCGCGCCGCATGCGCCGCGCCACCAGCGAGTAGTAGGCGTGGTGTAGACGACGGCGGCACAAGCTGCCTCCTCCAGGGTCCTGGGGCGGTCACAGGGTCAGCTCGGCCTGGCTGCTGCCGCCGACGCCCACGGGCCCGGGCCCTGTCGGCCACGCACTCACCAGCCGGAGGCACGTCCCAGAGGCAAGTCCGAGGACAGCTGGACGGACGTGGCCAGGCTTCGGCGGGCACCAGCCCATCACGCGCTTGCCGCTGGCGTCTCGGCCCGAGAACTCCAGCCCAGCATGCAGTCCCGTGAGGCCTTCCCTGGAGGCGGGCGGCGGTGAGCCGGCGGCCCGAGGTGCAGCCCAGCCGGGCCTCGGAGAACGCCGCCACCCGGGGCCCAGGCCATACCTGGGATGGCGTCAGGAACGCTTGCCCGTGCAGCATGATGTCGCGGAAGTTCAGCGAGGCGTAGGTGACCGTGCCAGAGCTGGGCGCCGGCCGGTGGGCGAGCGCGTGGCGCAGCGGGGAGCAACCCAGCGAATGGAGGACAGTCCTCGGTGAGCACGTTCACGAACCGTGCCGCCGTCTGCTCCTCCGGCTGTCTGCGCGAAGAAGGGCAGCTGCGCGGCCTCCAGCCGGTCTCCGTCCTCCCCACATCGAGGAGCCTGGGCGGCGTGGGTGGCGGGGGTCGGTCAGGGCTCACCCTGCTCCAGCGGGAAGTGCGGAAGGCCCCCCAGGCCCGTCGCGGTACACGTTCATCACCAGGTCCCCCTGCAGCAGCGCCCGCCAGCTCTGCGGAGCGGGGTCCACCGCGGGCACGCGGGATGCCTGCTCAGGTTGGACAGCAAGACGCACTGTGGCGGCAGAGCGGTGAGAGCGCCGTACGGAGGGGAGGGGAAGGGAGCGGGGGCAGGGAGGGGCCTACCGATCCGTGCCGCGGGCTCCTTGCGGAGACAGTTCACAGCCCACCACGCTGAGGTGGAGCAGTTGACGCCTTCAGCACACGGGCCGCGGGGATCGTCGCCAGGATGTTCTGCGGGAGGAGGGAGGGTCAGCAGCCGGCGCCCGGCTACGCTGCACACCTGTGCCAGGTGAGCGGGTCCGGGAGGCCAGGCGGGGACTGACCTTCAGAGAGTCCACCCAGCGGAAGCTGGTGTCCCTCCACGGCAGGAAGATGGGGCTGTCCTGTGTGGGCCGGCGGCGGCACAGGAAGAGCGCGGAGCCGTAGAAGGACTTCTTCAGGCCCACCAGGTGCAGCGGCGTCCTCGCAAACAGGCTCTCCCATCATCCTGCGAGCGCATGGCCGTCAGGGCCCGGCCAGCCTGGCCACCCCGGCCCTGGCCTCCTGCCCGGCCTGGCCGCCGGCCCCGCCCACAGCGCACCTGGCTCAGGAGGCCTGCGCGAGCTGCGGCTCAGAGGAGGAGAGGAAGGCCATGGTGTCCCGGGGGGTGCCCGCGCACAGGGTGTGCAGCAGCAGGAACCTGCCCTCTCGCAGGGCGGCGCCATGTGGCCGAGGGCCAAGGCGGGGTCCCGAGGCCGCCACGGCACAGTTGCACACCAGGAGGTCGCGCTGCCCAGGCTGCTGGTGCAGGCTCCGCGGGGTCCCACTGGGCCTGGGCTGCGTCAAATTGCTGCAGCTTGGCCTGCGCAGCCTCCAGGGCCTGGGGTGGCGGTCAGTGGCCGTGTAGCTCAGCTGCAGCATCGGCTGGGTGTTGAGCAGGCCCGGGATGCGGGAGTACAGGTGTCCATGGCCGGCCAGCACCTGGGGGGGGGACATCTTCTGGGAGCAGCCCGGCCAGGGAAGCGTCCGACCTGGGGCTGCGCAGACCCGCGTGCCAGGTCACCAGCTGAGCCCGTGCTCTCGGGCCCCGTCTGCGGTGACCTTCAGAGCCCAGGCCCGGGCTGCTGCGTGGACACGGCCGGCGGGCCTGCATCTGCGCCGCCCCCTCCCCCGTGCACCTGCGTGGTGGCGGCCCCCGTCACAGGTGTAGGGACAAGCGACAGCCTGTGGGGCCGCTGGGCACCTCGCCGCCCTGCGGTCTCGTCTACCTGGCTCTTCTCAGCCGACGCCTACCTCCACCACCTTCATCCTGGGGCCGGCCATGTTCTCCAGCGCCGTGTCCACGCAGGCCTTGAGCGCCGGGGCGTCCAGCAGGCCGCAGAGCAGCGGGTCCTCCGGCAACAGGGGCCTCTCCTGGGCCAGCGCCTGGGCCAGCTCCAGCTGCAGGCTCCCGTTGAGCTGCAGCTGGCAGGCCGCCCACAGCAGCCGCGGCAGCCCCTGCTGGGGGGGCTCCCGGGAGGCCCCGGGCCCTGCCATCTTCAGCCCCTGCTGGGTCACCTTGGCCTGCAGGGCCTGTGCCAGCCCTGGGGAGGGAGAGACACCAATGCCGCCGGAGGCCCCAGAAGCGAGACTCTGCTTAAGGGGACTTGGACTGGTCTGGCCCTCCTGGGCACTGCTGGCCCCGCCCCGGGACACTGACTCTGCCCGCCATGGGCGCGTGGGGAGGGGCCCGGCCACGGCGTGGCCCCGCGGTGTTCCGTGCCCGTCCCCACCCCCGCCCTGAGCCAGGGTCTCCCACACATCAGCCCGGGGCACAGGCCCCAGCAGATTGGTCTGCACCTAGTGGTGGCTGGGTCACAGCCAGAAGGGGACCACATCTTGTCTTTGTCCCCAAGTCCCCTTGAAACGGACAGTTGACAAGGACGACCACAGGGTTGGGGGAGGCAGGTGGGGGTCTATTTGAAGGAGAACAGTGCCGGCAGCGGCTGTCTTGGGGAGTGATGAGTTCCCCGTCGCCATTAGCTTCCAATGGGCCAGGCAGGCGGGGCAGGGCGGGGCTCACCCTTGCACAGCTGCAGCTCCTCCTGCAGGGCGGCGCTGGCGGACAGGCACCCATCCTCCATGTGCGGTGTGAAGCAGAACTTCTCCAGGGTGGGCGCCAGCTGCTCCTGCTGCCGGCGCGGGGCCGCCGAGGAGTGGAGCCGTGTGATGCGGGCGCCGCCAGCCACCGTGCTGCTCAGAAAGCTGTTCACCACCACGTCCACCGCTGCGGGGATGGGCGGGTGAGCGCGGGCAGGGGCGCCGGGGACGCCGGGATGCGGGGCGGGGCGGGGGCGTGCTACCTTGGGCCTCGCCCTGCAGCGGGTACACCTTGCGCAGGTGGGTGGCAGGGTCCACGTGGATGGCGGTGATGCGGGTGGGCAGCAGCAGGCTGCGCTGGCTGGAGGCCAGGATGAACGCCTGCAGCATGGTGTCCAGGAAGGTCACCCAGTTGTCCTTCCACAGCAGCCTGCCCGAGGTGCCTGCGCAGACAGACGGCCGGCGCTCAGCGCGGCTCACACCGGGCCGCGGCCACGCCACACGCACGCCCACCCGGCGCAGCCCTGCACGCCTCCCGCCCCACCTTCGAGGCTGGCGTCCAGGATGCCCTGGAAGTGGGGGCCGTAGTCGTAGCCGCGCAGACGCAGCGCCTTGTACGCGTCGGCCTGCGTCAGGCGTAAGGCCCCAGGGTTGGCGGGGGTGGGGTCTTCCGGGTGGTCGAAGAACGTGGGGTCGGGGTCTTCCCACTGGTACACCTTCCCTGCAGGGGGCACAGACAGCTGAGTGGGCGGTGGGCGGGACGGCTGGCGGGGGTCCCTCCCGCACGCACCCGCCGCGCCCCACTCACCGCTCACTATCAGGTTGCCGTTCTCGGACACCTCGAAGGCGCGGGAGGCCTCCATGAGCCGCACCTCCAGGGGCACGGTCCCTGCGGGGCAGTGGGGGTCAGAGGCTAGAGGTCAGCGGCCCCTCTTCCCCCAGCCGCCCACGCCTCTGGCCCAGGGAGTCCCTCACCCGTCTTGGGCAGGATGGTGGCCTGGTGTATGGTCACGTCCTCGAACACCACAGGCATCTGCTCCATGGCCAGGCCCAGGCTGCGGGCCAGCGTCTTCCAGACCAGGTGCAGGTAGCCCGTGGCCGGGAAGATGACACGGCCGTCGATGCAGTGGTCCACCAGGTAGTGGTCGGGGGACTCGGGGCTGGCGTCTGCAGAGGGCACGGCCTCAGTGCCAGCTTGCCCAGGGAGGGGCAGCCTTCCCCACCACCTGCCCGCCCGCCAGCCCGCCTGCCCGCCCGGCTCACCAATGTTGTACACGGTGGCCGAGGAGGAGCCGGAGCCGTTGGGGAAGTCCTCTGCGGCCGGCACGTCCCACGTCTGCCCGTGGTCCCACTTGATGTGGGGGGAGATGAGGGGCGTTCCCCGGGGGGGTGGGAACTCCACAGGCGGAAACAAGGCATTGGGGTTGACGTCGATGCTGGTGGGTGGAGGGGAGGTGAGTGGCTCAGCCGGGGGGGCTGGGCTCAGGGCTCCCGTGGGCTCAGGAGGCTCCCGTGGCCTCCGGGTCTAGCCCACCCGCTGTTGGCCAGGCATGCCGCCCACTGCTCCCTGCTCCTGGGAGAACGGCCGTGTGGCCCCCGGCAGTGTGGGGTGGGGAGGGGTGGGGGAGGGGCACCCACCCTGCGAGGTGGACCTTGCCCACGCCGGCCAGGAAGAGCTCCAGGTTGTCCCTGTGGTCCTTCTTCATCAGGGGCACGATGGTGCAGCTGGGCTTGAGGCCACGCTTGAGCACAGCCTGGGGCGGGACGGGCGCTGGGGTGACACTGCCGGCCCCACCCGCTGGGACCCGCTGGGACCCCTCCCCCGCAGCGGGCGTCCTACCTGCAGCAGGGCGTGGGGCGCGATCTCCAGCACCACGGCGTGCTCGGGCACGTGCCGCAGCGCCTCCTGGAACAGCACGGGGCTCACCAGGTTGTTCACGTTGTACTCGGCGGAGGACGTGCGCGCCAGGCTGCCGCGCCACTGCGCCTCGGGGATGGAGGTGCTGAGCCAGCGGGCGGACCGGGGACGCGGCTCCCGGATCACCTGCACACACGGCCGGGTCAGCACAGGGGCGCGGGACGGCACCCCCGCCCCGCCGGCCGGCCCAGCCCACCTTCTTGAGTGCCTTCAGCAGCGTGGGCGCGATGGCCTCCATGAAGTAGGAGTGGAAGGCCATGCCGCCTGTCCGCACCTCCTTGGCGAACACGCCCTCCTGCTTCAGCTGCTCCACGAAGGCAGACACCGCGGCCTGGTGGGGAGCCCCGGTGAGCTCTCCCCGCCACCGGCCAGGGCCCGCACCCCGCCCGCTCGGTCTTGGAGCGGGTGGCGGTGCTGGAGCCCATGAGGGAGTGAAGGGGGAGGGATGGGGTGGGGCTACACGGCGACAGGTGCGAGGGACAGAGGAGCAGCGAGGCCACAGGCCACCTCACCTGTGGTCCCGAGATGGTCACCGTGTCCTCAGAGTTGTGGCAGGCGGGCACCACACCAGGGGGGCAGCGCTGCTTGCACTCCTCCCAGGACAGGCCTGCGGCAGGGCCAGCCTCAGCGGGTGGCTGTGGGGACCCCCAGCCCTGCCCCCCAGGCCAGCCCTCCCTGGCATGGAAGACGCCCGCGGCGTCCGTGGTAATGACAGGGGCCGTAATGACAGCCGCCGAGCCTTACGAGGCACTTTGGGCCCCACTGTGTGGCCGTGGGAGCCACTGTGGGGGTGGAGGGGCCGTCCCAGGTGTCTCCCAGGTGGGGGCGGCTCTTGGCGCAGTAACGACGCCCTAGGGCCCGGTCGGGGACGTGGCCTCAGCCCCAGGACCCCAGGACGGGTGGTGGGAGCTGGGTGAGGTCTCCCGCCCCACTCTTGCCTGGGCGGGGATCAGGCCCGACTGCTGGGGGCCGTGCAGGGCCGCGGGGGAGGTGACGCCTACCCACGGCTGCCATGGAGCCTGGTGGAAGGTTGGCCTCCTTGATGCACTGGCCTCTCCAGTAGGCAGCGAGGACGGCCTCCTCCTGGGACAGGCAGCCGTCAGCGTAGCCGCAGGCCACCTCGCCCAGGGAGTGCCCGATGATGCCGTCGGGCCGCAGTCCCATGGAGCTCAGCAGGTCCAGGAGCGCGATCTGGGGCGGACGGGACGTCAGGCGGGCCGGCCCCGGGCATGTGCACCCCCACCCACCTGCCCTCCGGGCCACCAGGTGGGAGGGACCCAGACGGTGCCCACGCAGGGCTCTGGGGCAGTGCGGCTGGGTGCGACAGGAGCCCCTGGCCGGTGCCCAGACACGCGTGTGCGGGCTCACCTGGATGGCCGTGAGGCTCACGAAGGCGTGCACGATGTCGTCGAAGGTGTTCTCCTCCGTGCTCAGCAGCAGCTCCGACACCTTCAGCCCCAAGGGCTTCACGGCCTCGTCGGAGCGCAGGATGGAGTCGCGGAAGCTGCCCAGGCGCATGAGGCTCAGCCCCATCCCACGCCACTGCGTGCCCATCCCTGTGCGGAAGGCGTGTCAGGGAGTGGCCGCCAGCAGGCCTGCCGCCCCGCATGCCCCGGGCTGCAGGGGGGGCTCACCGGAGCAGATGAACCACAGCGGCCGCTCGCCGGCAGACACCTGCTGCACCTCGGAGCCCGCGCCGCCCAGCACGGCGTAGCCCCTGAAGGGCATGGCGGCGGCGGGGGCGGCCGCGATGTCGTTGAGCATGCACAGGAGGGCCAGGTCCTGGCTGTGCTGCTGGCCCTGCTCCAGCAGGGCCCGCACGGCCTCGGCGGTGCGCCCACTGGCCCGCAGCAGGCGGGGCAGGGCCTCATGCGGGGCGGGTGCCTTCCCGGGGGGCGGCCGGGCGTTGGGCTGCAGGATGACGTGCACGTTGGAGCCGCCAAAGCCGAAGGAGTTGATGCCCACGTTGCCGCCGCGCACGGGCAGGGGCTGGTCCACCACCTGCAGCCGCCCGTCGCGCAGCGCCGGGATCTCGGGGTTGGGGCTGTGGAAGTGCAGGTTGGGGGCCCAGACGCCGTGCTCCAGGGACAGCAGCACCTGCGGGCACGAGGTGGTGGGCGGCTGCCCCAGCTCCCCGGGGGGCGGCCACACTGTTCGCCGCGCTTCCCCACCCCCAACCCGGTCCCCCGAGGCAGGGGTCTGACGACCACGTTGCTGCAGCCCTGCCCTCAGACTGGCCCCGTGGGTGGGGTGCTCAGCCCGTTGTGGGCCTCAGGACCCCCTTGCCCGGCCCCGAGTCCCCCAGCCCGACGGGGACACCAGGGGCTGGCCGTGGAGCTGGAGGCCAGGCCCTTCTGCCCACCAGGCATGTAACCCTGAGCTGCCGAAAGTGGAGGCCAGGGGTCCTTGGCCGTCAGGTTTCCGAGCCCAGTGCTCCTAGGGGTCACCCTAAGGGGCCCCAGGCGCCTGGCAGTCTGTCCGTGAGCCGTAAGGACGGGCGGGTGACGTCTGCTCCACGCCCTGGGGAGACTCCTCCAGCCATTCCCCTCCCTCCCTCTCTCTCCCGCCTGAGCTGCTCCTCTGTCCCCAGAGGAGCGGGTCTGCTCGGGTCCCACCCAGTGGGGGGCTGCCCAGGCACAGCCCCCTAGTGGGGAGGGGTCAGGGCTCACGGAGCCCACCTGCCTACCTTGGCCAGGGCCGCCAGCCCCGAGGCAGGCTCCGGGTGCCCCATGTTGGACTTGGTGGAGCCGACCAGCAGCGGGTCTTTGCGGGAGGCGCACAGGGCCCGGACGATGCTGTTCAGCTCCTGTGGGTCGCCCACCTGCGGGAACGCGGGGTCGGGCTCCAGCCGGCTGCCTCCCCGGGGGTGGGGCGGAGGGCCGGGCAGAGGCAGGGCCGGGCAGAGGCAGGGCCGCGCGGGGGGCCTCACCTTGGTGCCTGTGCCGTGGGCTTCGATGTACTCGAGGGACTCAGGGGCCACCCCGGCTGGCAGGTACAGGGAGCGGATGAGCTGCTCCTGGGACTCTCCGGAGGGGAAGGTCACACCTGTGGAGAGCTCAGGCTCAGCACCCGCCCTGCTGTCCCGCCTGCCACCCACCACCCGCCGCCCAAGCCCAGAGCCCACCTTGCTCCTTGTAGCCGTCCGTGTTGGTGCCGGCGTTCAGGATGGTGGCGTACACCCGCCGGGCCAGGGACTTCTTGGTCAGCAGGACGGCCACCACAGCCTCTGAGCGGCAATACCCGTTCCCTGGGGCAGAGCAGAACCTTTCATGGGGCTCGGCACACACACCCCTGCGGGGAGCTCTGTGCGGGAGGCACGGGGGCAAAGACGCCCCAGCAGGGCGGCCGGGGGTCTGCAGAGGTGCCCACCTGCGTCGTCGAAGGACTTGCAGGTGCCCTCGGGGCTGAGCATGCCCAGCTTCATGAACTGCACGGAGGTGTTGGGCTTCAGCAGCAGGTTGATGCCCCCCACGATGGCGGCCGGGCACTCCCCGCTGCGGATGGCGTGGAAAGCGTTCTGCAGCGCCAGCAGGCTGGAGGAGCAGGCCGTGTCCAGGGAGACGCTGGGCCCTGCACGCAAAGGCACACTGCGCTGGGGCCCGGCTGTGGCGGCGTGGGCGGGGGCCGTGGATGGGGGCCTCCCCAGCACGCGCTGGACACCCCTTGCGGCCCACGCTTAGCACGCGGGAGGCCCGCGGCACCCACCTTTGAAGTCGAAGAAGAAGGACAGCCGGTTGGCCATCATGGCACGCTGGCAGCCCACCATGCTGTAGCCCAGGAGCGTCTCGGGGTCTCGGCTCAGGGCCTCTGAGGCCTCAGAGCCCCCCACGCCCACCCAGACGCCGGTGTGTGTCCCTCGCAGAGAGGCTGGGTTGATGCCTGCCGGAAACACGGGGCTCAGGCCGGCGCCCTCCTGGCCCACTCTGGGGCCGGGGCCTGGCCTGGGTGAGAGGGGCTCCCTCCCAGCGGGACTCTGGAAGGTACCAGGGGGAGGGGAGGTGTCCTGCCAAGGGGACAGAGCAGAGCCACAGTGGGCGCCAGCCTGCCCAGGGCCCAGCACTGAGAACCGGGTCAGAAGAAACGGAGCGTTGGGACAGGCGGGCCCAGGAGAGGGCGCCAGAAGCGGACAGAGGCAGCTGTGGGAGGACAGAGAGCCGCATTGTCCCTGACTCCTTGGGCCCTGGTGTCACCGCAGGGTCTGTGAGCCCCCGGACCAGGGAGTGCCCCAGCTCCAAGGGCACCTGCCCTGGGCAGAGCCGAGACCGGGAGACAAAGAGAGACCTGCGGGTTGGGCCTGGGAGCAGGAAAGGCCCGAGGGACAGGGGCCGGGAGGGGACCAGGGACCAGGCGGTCTCCCGAGGCTCCCTCTCGCCTGGCAGGAGGGACAAGCCGGTGTCCCCAGCCCAAGGCGACACAGTGGAGAGGCCAGGCTGGCGGGCCGGGGTCCCCACCCGCAGGCCCCAGAGCAGGGGGGAAGTGGAGCAGACTGCCGGGGCCCTGGGCTGCGGGTAGCTGGGACGGCAGGACGGGAGGGACACGGAGGACGGCCGGTGCCGCCTGCTGCCGGGCTGGGGGCAGCGGGAGGACACATGTGGGGGCTGCTCCAGAGCCGCCTGCTCTGCCTGTCACCCTGGCCCTCGCCCCGAGACCAGCCAAACCAAGACCAAGACCGGTCAGGAGTGAGGAAACTGGGGCATTGGGGCACACCCGGGACACCTCCAGTGTGTAGTTGTGAAACCGTGACCTGCCCAGGGGCCCACGCCTCCCCGAGCCCGCTGGCTCCAGATCAGGGGCCAAACCAGGCTGGGGACAGGGCCAGGAGAAGGCAGGTCTGGGCCCCACTCTACCCTGAAGAGGCCGTGGGGCGGTGGGGCACAGCCCGAGGACCCACCTCCGTCCACGATGGCCTCGTAGGTGACTTCCAGCAGCAGCCGCAGCTGGGGGTCCATCGTGTGCGCCTGCTTGGGGTGCACCCCGAAGAAGGAGGCGTCGAACTTGGACAGGTCCTTCAGCTTGCCGGACCGCCGGGGGAGGCCGTAGAGCCCTGCGGGACACGGCAGGCGTTTCCTCCCCTGACCGAGGCCATTGGAGGGCAGGGCACCTGGGGACCTGCAGGCCCTGGCAGTGGCCGTGGGGGAGTCTCGGAGCCTCCACTGCAGCCAGGAGGCCCAGGCAGCCGAGCAGACTCCCTGGGAGGGGCGGACGGTGAACCCCAAAGCACAGCCAGGGCTGCCAGGTGGGACCCCAGCCCCACCTGAGAAGGATCCCAGAGGGGGCGTGGCTAGGGGACCCCAGAGGAGGAGAGGCTAAGGGACCCTCCGCCTGGCCTGGCCAGTGCCTGGGCTCCGCCATGCTGACTCACACCCCGTCCGGCAGGTAGGGCTGCTCTGTGGGAGATCGTACTGGGCGTGGGAGAGTCAGGCCAGCCTCCCTAGGGTACCTGGTGCCCTGCCTGCCAGCTCAGGACCTGGGAAGGGACGGTGTGGCCAGAGGGCTCGGGCCTCAGCCCAGCACCCATGCTCTGAGCCTGGCTTCTCTGCCAACAGGCAAATGAGGCCTGCTTGGCCCTTGGCCTCCCAGCCACCTGGGGAGCCTCCCAGCGGGCCGAGCCCACCCCCAGGCCATCCTGGCGCCATGTCCAGGAAGAGGCTGCAGCCTGGCCTTGCCTGTGGGCGGCCAGTGTCCCTCAGTTGCAACTGGGCTCAGGCCAGCGCCAGCAGCAGCTGGAAGACAGCGCAGCAAGAGGCTGCCTGAGGGGCAGAGGTGGAGTCTGAACCTCAAACCGAGAGCCAGCGGAGCCCCACGGCCACTCACCGGCTTTCCACCGCCGGTCATCATCTGTGACCATGTCCACACCGCCAATGAGGTTGGCCCAGAACTCCTCCAAGTTCTCCGACTCGGGCAGCTTCCCGGACATGCCGGCGATCACAACCTCCTCCATGGCTCTTCTGCAGGGAGGGCAGCATGGCCCCACAAGGGCTCAGCCCTGGTCCAGCACCCCCAGCCCACAGCCTCAGCACCCCAAATGGTGGCTGCTCAAGATTCGCTGGCGAGAATCGCCTGACCTACCACTGGGGCCTGAGCGCAGGCTCTGGCCTAGCTGCCTGCCTCCCCGCGTCCTGCCTAAGAGCAGGGCCCAGAGTGCTGCCCTTAGAGACCCCAAGACCCAGCTCCTGGGCCCTGGCACTGGCCTGTTAACTCTGGGGTCCTGCTGCCCCGAATGCCCAGCGGCCAGCTGCCTCTGCAGCAGTGCCTGGCTTTGACTTGGCCAAGCTTCAGCCTTGCAACCTCCTGCAGCCAGTGCTCCTAGGCCGTCCCTGGGGGTATGGGGACCTCAGAGGGGAGCAGGCAGGCAGGCCCTTCCTGGAGATGGAGGACTAGGCCCCCCGGTACCCAGCCTGTTAAGAGCCAGCAAAGAAATGGCAAAGGCCAAACAGGCTGGGTCCCAAAGCAGGGTGTAGGGGCACTCGGCACCCACTCTCCCCAGGCCACAAGGAGAGGCCCCCACATTAGGGGTGGGGCCTACTGCCCAGGCCAGCCCAGGAGCTGCAGGGTTTGCGAGGGACCGGGTGAGGAAAGGCCCGCACTCTGGGTGCCAAGGCCCTGCAGGGCTCTGGGGAAAGGTAGCCTCTGCTCCATAATGGACTGACCCGGCCAGTCCGAACCCTCCAGCAAGGTCCAACCTGGAGAACCACTCCTGGCCAGGTGCCAGGCAGGTGCTGCCTAGCTCCAAACACCTGTGCAGGTGAGGCCTCAGGACACTTGCTTGCCTCCCGGTACCCCAGAGCACAGCAACCGCGTGCGGCCCAGGCCCCTAAGATGTCCACAGAAGAGCCCAGGCCGCAGGGCTGCAGGTCTAGCAAGGGGCCTCCTGTGCAGCCTGAGGCAGAGGGAGAGGCCAGGGCTGGTCCAGTCACTTCCACCAAGGCCCCAGGGCCTCACCGCCAGCCCGGTGAGTGGAGGGAAGCGGCCTCCCACCGAGCGAATAAAGAGCCCTTGGACGCCGAGGCACAGGCTCCAGGACGCGCCGCTCTGTTCCCCCTACTTGCAATTCACGCGGAGTCGGCGGGAGGCCGGGGGTGGAGACCCCCGCGGCGCCCGGGTGGGGGGCTGCCCGCGGCCCTGCGCCTCGCCCCCGGCGCCCGCCTGAGGGGGAGGCCCGTCCCCTCCGCGCGCTGCCTCCCTCCCGGGTCCCGCTCCGCTGGGCCTCGGCCTTCGCAGCCCCGAGGAGGCGACCGGGGCCTTTGTGGCGGGGGAGCCCGGCCCGGGCCGCCCGGGGGCGAAGATGGCTGTCCGCGACCCTCCCGGCCCCGGCCCCGTCGCCGCCCTCCCCGCGCCGGGCCGGGCGCCCCGGAGGGGCTGGGACACCAAGCCCGGCAGGCCGCGTGGGGACCCCGCTGCGGGCGCGCCGGCCACGCGTTTCCGAGGCGAGGACTCGGCCCGCGCCGCCCACAAGCGCCCCCGGCCGCCCGCGAGACCCCGCCGGCCCGCGAGGCACGGCCCCCGAGCACCGGCCGCCCGAGTCCCCGGCCCGGCCCGAGCGCCGCGGCCGTACCTGGTCTGGTCTGGTCTGGGCGCGGGCGGCGGGCGGCGAGGGCGGGCGGGCGGAGCGAGGCCGGGCCGGGCCGTCTCTCTGGCTCCCTCTAGGCCGGCGCCGGCGCTATTTAAACCGCGGCCATCCCCGGGCGGCCACGCCACATGGGCTGACAGCTTGGCTGCGCCGCCCAGGCCAATGAGCGTCGGGGCTGCGCCCCGGGACCCGGCGCGCCGCCGCCGTGGGGTGAGCCGGCGCGCGCCGCCCGCCCGGCCCCCCGCGCGGGAGCCGCGGCGCGGGAGGGCGCGGGCGCGCGCGAGCCCGCGAACTTCCGTTCCGCCCGCCGGCGTCCGCCGGCCACGTGTGCGCCGCGCGGCGGCGGGACGGGGCGTGCTTGGGCCACTCCGGGCCGCGCCGGGGAGCGGGGCGGGCGGTGGGCGCGCCCCCACTTCGCGGGCGGGCGCGCGGGGTCCCCGCGTTCGCGGCTGCCCGCTCCACGCCGCTGTCGCTGCCCGCGCGGACAGGGGGCGTGGCTCCCGCGGCGGCGGCCAATCGGGCGCCGGGGGCGTTCGCGCCGGCCCAATGGCGGCGCGCGGGTGGGCGTTGCTAGGCGATAGGGTGATGGGCCGCAGAGCGAGCTCGGTCGTTGACCCCGGAGGGCGCCCCGCGCGGGGTTACTGCCGGTCACAGGTCCTACTAACCCGGCCGCGCGGGGTCCCGGTGGACGCCCACCGCCCCGCATTGACAGCCGCCCTGGGGGCAGGGGCGGGGGCGGGCGGACGGGGTCACCCCCAGGGCCCAGTGGGGTCTGCCCGGACAGCCACCTGGCGGGATTCGGACAAAGGAGCCGAGGCGGCGGGCTGTCCACGCGCGGGCGGAGGCTCTGCGGGCCCCACGGCCCTCCTGCGGTTCCCCCACGGGGTGGCTCGGAGGGTCCCGCCCTGTAAGGCACCACCCGAGGCCGCGGGCGGCGGGCTGGCGTCCTGCTCTGGGGGCTCCAGGCAGCGCGATGGCCAGTGCTCGGCTGCGCAGAGGGCCTGGGGCCCCCTGTCCTGGCACCCCTTGCCCTCTCTCCTCCCTTTCGGGGGCGCAGGCCTGCGGGGTGTGGTCGTGGCTGGGCCACACGGGAGGCAGCAGGATGGTCAGCTGCGGTCCTGCCCAGGGCCACTGGCCCCTCCTGCAGCAGGTCCACACATCGGGAGGAAGGGTCTGGAAGGACAGGGAAGGTGGGGCCAGGTCTGACACCTGAACTGTGTCCTCATTCTAGGGCCTTTTCTCTGTCTTCAGATTTCAGGGTGAGGCCACAGGGTCAGCTTAAGGACAAAGCTTAGGGCCAGGAGCAGCTGGACTGTCTGTGCAAACGCCCCTCCCAGTGCCTTTGCACATCCCAGACCCATCTCGCCACAGTGCTGCTGGTCAGTGGTCAGCAGGGCTGTGTCCAGGCCACGGAACTACTGACCTCACGATGGGCCAGCCAGGACGGAGGGCCCCGGTCCTGCACCACGGAGGGCTGAGGACTTGCCCCCTGCTCTCAGCTTCTACGGAAGGTGACAGGCAGTTCTGCTCACTTCCAGCTAAAGGAAGTCACAGGGTCAGCCTCATTTCCCGGGGGCACCCCTATTCCCACTTGTGTGTTTACACGAGCAAATGAAGAAAGCCAACCATAACGCACAGGCCAGCAAGCGCAATCTTCACCCCTGCCTCTCCCGGGCCCTGTGTTGGAGACTGCCAGTGGCCACCGCTGTGGTGCCATCTCTCCTGCCCGCGCAGCTGAGAGCCAGGAAGGCAGATCTCACCATCCGCATTTTACCCAGGTGCAAACTGAAGCTGCAAGTGTACACAATTCTGCACAGTCCCAGCAGGTTAGGGCTGGGAGCAGCCCTCCCCCCATGTCCTCCCAGAGAAGCTGCCTGCCCGGTTCAGAGAGGAAAAGGCTGCCCCAGGGCACAGGCAAGGCCGAAGCCACAACGCCCATGCCCTCCTCAGCAGGCAGGGCACATCCAGGTGCACGACCAGGTGCAGGCACCCACAGGGCAAAGGCAGGGGCTCTGGAAGAGTGGGGGGGGACATGGGCCCCCAAGATACCCTGTGTGGTGGTGACCATCGTGCCAACTGCATAGGGCACCTGTGCAAGTGTGGAAGACACAAGACAATGCTCATGATGCGCTTTTGATTGGGGCACAGTGTGGTGTTCTGGTGTTACCTGCAGTGACCACCAGACAGGTGTCAGCTCAGGTGTCTCATCCTTGTAGGTGCTGGCCCTGGGTACCTGTGTGTCAGGGATGTTTTACCCTTGTCCTCCATGGGGGATGGACGTGGACGGCACTGCTCTGACCCACTGTCCTGGGTCAACTCGCCAGCCCACACACTCGAGGCACAGGGCCCACCTGGCTGTCGGCCCACCTGGGCCAGGCTCACTTGGAGCCAAGGTTCTTGTGCCGGGGAGGACCCTCACATGGTGCTCGCTGCTGCCTGCTTTGCAGGTGGGCACTGCCCGCGGCCTAGCTCCGGGGAAGGCTGCACGGTCCATGACAACGCCGCCGGTGCACAGTGGCTGTGGGTGGCGGCGCAGGCAGGCGGGGCTCTGGCACCAGCACTTGATACCGCGTTTCCCAAGTAGGACAGGTAAACAACACCGCGGGCCAAGCAGATGCGTGAGGGCCTCCTGGGTTTTAATGTGCTCCTCGGTGGGTGAACCAGGCCACACCCTCCCCGACACCCGGCAAACCCAGGCCTGGGCGGGGGTGGGGGGGCAGGCTGCAGGTCAGTCCTTCACGTTGTAGTTACGGATCTTGGGGGGCCGCTGGCCGCCTTTAGGTTTTTCAGGATGGCACTTGGAGGTTTTGGTGGGCTTGGCCTTTGACTGGGCTGACACTTTCATCCCGTGGACGGCAAAGCCCGCCTGCGACACATGGGGGCTCCTAACAGCCTCCTGGAGACGGGGGGCCGCTGGCGGTGCAGGGAGCCCTGCCAGGGAAGAGAAACAAGACAAAGGGCTGGTCAGGACCCCTGCAGGGACGGCAGGGGCCGAGCGGCTCACCCTGGTTCTGCTTGCGGGAGGCCTGGGCTGTGCTCGGGGCCAGGCCTGGGGCGCAGGCACCAGAGGTCCGGGTGGACGTGAGCCCGACGGACGCTTGGCAGGGCCTGGGCTCGCGTGGACAGCGGGCTCTGAGAGCCTGACCATTTCATGACGGGTCCCAAGGGACACGGGTATGGGGTGTGGGGTTAATGCTTGACTTTCGGCCCCATGGCCCGTCGATTCAGGGCGTCCCCAGCCTCTGAGACCCGTGCCCTGCACACTGCTGCCCGGTGGGCACGGCTGGCCGGGGCCTGGGGGGAAGCTGCCCCCACTGGGCTCCTCTGACCCCCCAGCAGCCCCAACGCCTGTGGCCAAGGACCCGGGGGTGCCCCACGCCTGGGCCAAGGTGCCAGGGCAGCCCTCCCGAGGCGGCGGCCTTGAAGGTGTCCGCACAGGGGCACTGTGGTGAGCTTCTTTATCCCGCCAGCTCCTCTCTAGTTTCCAAGTTTTTTGAGTTAAGAATGTATTTCTTTTGTAAAACAACAACAAAACGTCACTCGAATCCATGGTTGAGACTTGAGCTCAGAACCGCCTCTCCCAGGAGGCTGAAGGCTCCTGACTGGGGGGGGGGGCCTGACCCCACCGCCGGCTTGGCGGGGACCCCTCACACACGGGAGACACGCCTGGGGGTGACATGCACACTGGGTGCCCAGCCCCATGCTTGGTGTGACAGCTGCAGGCCGGCCTGAGGGGGCTGGTACGGGCTCTGTGCCTTGGGGACACCCGTGGTGACATACTGTTTCTCTGGGTCGTGGTGCCTGGGGCCCCCTTCCCTTCTGGGGCTTATCCTGATACCTGGAACCAGCAGCCTCAAGGGGTGACACCCTCTGGCCCCCTACTGGGGCCCGGGGGGCCCTGGACACCCCCTTAGCTCTCCCGGCCCCAGAGGAATCCCTCCTCTTCCCGCAAAGATCCCCCTCCCCTCTCTCTCAGCAGAACCCTCCGCCTGGGGGCCGCCCCACTGCACCCCAGCCCAGCTCTGTTCCCTGGGTCTCCTTCCCGAGGGTGCAGCCCACGTGGAGGGCAGGGATGTCCCACGGAAGGGGCTTCAGGCTGGACACCAGGATCCTCTCTGGCCAGGTCCTGGGGGCACCACTGTAACCCTGGGGGTCTCCTCAAACTCGGGGGCCTTGGCTGTCCCTCCCCAGGACACAAGGGTCTAGTCTTCTCCGGGATCTGGGAACTGAACCTGAGTTCATGCTCAGGTTCAGTTCAAAGCGCTGGGGGCGTCTTTGCAGAAAGCGAGGTTTCTGGAAAAGGGCAGCGCAGACCCCAAGACCCTCTACTTGGGGGGCCAGAGACACTGTGCTGCCTGGGGAGGACCCTCCGCGGGCCCCTGGGGGAGGCAGGGCGAGACGGCAGGCTGGGTGCAGCCGGACGCCAGGCAGGGTGGCCCCTGACCCACACCAGGAACTGGGTCAGAGGGCACCCGACAGTCCCCTGGGCGGGGAGCACAGGCCCTCACCCCTCCCCAGCGCGGCCCCCCGCTCCCCTTGGGGCAGGCTCCTGAGCGGGTCTGGCTGCCCGGGGACAGAAGCCCGCTTTGTGGTCTCCGGTTCCCGCCCGTCCTCTCCCGGCAGTGCCCTCCCCGCAGACGGGTGCGGGGACTGGCCGTGCTCCTGGCTCTGCAGGGCATGAGGGCGGGACGTGTCGGGCCCATCTGCCCCGGAGTGACTCTCCGTGACCCTGGATTCATCTCCTGGCTGATGCTAATCGGCCGCCAGGCCAGCAGCTGGTTTGTGGGACACTCCCGTCCCCGCCACTCTGCCCGCCTCCTCGCCTGACCTGTTCTGCGGAGTCGGCCTGGCCCTCTCTCTGCACCGGCTCCAATCGGGCCTCTGGGAAATTATGTGGACACACCACTTGTCGGCACAGCTCGAGGGCCCTGCGCACCTGCCTCCTGCCCACTGCTTGGTCTGTTCTGGCCCAGCACAGGGCTTCCGGAAAGTTCCTGAAATGTCTAAGGCCTTATAGCTATTAACCGAGGCACAGTGACTAGGGCCCGCCGGCCCGCCCAGGGTTAACCTCCCGGCAGGGTCTGGCGTGTGTTGCAGGCAGGATTGGCTGGGCTGGCTGGAGAGAGGCTGCAGGGAGGCAGGCCCGACTCCTGGAGGCGGCTGCACAGTCCTTTGACCCACAACAGCCGTAGTGGAGGCGTGGCCCAGCCTCCGGCTCATCCTCGGGCGGGCTGGGGTGTCAAGGGCTCCTGGGACACATTCGGGCCTCGCTAGGGGCTCCTCCCGCACCTGGGCTCAGGCTGCCCTGAGCTGAGGCCTTGAGAAGGGTGGACGGTGCTGCCGTGGCTCTCCGGAGCCTGCCCTTGAAGGCAGCTCAGGACGCCGATCTCATTTGTGGCCCTGGGCTCTGGGGACAAAGGCCTCTTTAACCACCGTGGCCTCTGCCCTCCTCCACACCGAGGGTCTGGGTTCTGTGGAGACTTGTCCTGTGTCCACAGGACCTCACCAAGCCCCGCGCCTCCCCAGAGTAGCTGACTCCACTCCCAGGTCTCCCGGGAACACGGCCTCCCACTGCACAGTCGGGACAGAACCTGAGCCCTCGGCTCGGCCCCAGCGTGGGTGTGGGGGGAGCAAGGCCTTGCTCCCCCTGCCCTGGGCTCAGAGCTCCTTCCCAGGATGCCCCATGCCTGAGGTGTTTGCGTGCAGTGCCCTGGCCTGAGCCCCCCAGCTCCTGCCGCTCAGCACACCAGGGCTGCCACCCCCCACCCCGAGCTGTAGCCCCACAGGACAGCAAGGAGCTTGGAGGGCACCTGCCCAGCAACGGGGCTCCAGCGGAGGGAGGCCTGGTGGCCCCCCACTGCCCTTCCGTGGGGGACGCTCTGGCCGGCAGGGCACTGGGCCTGCACTCCACCCAGCGGCTCTGCCCACCCCCAGCTGCAGGAGGCTCCGTCCTGAGCCCGCGCCACACGGCCCTGCCCTCGGTGCGGGGCTCTGGGCAGTCCTGCCTGCGCTGACTGTGCGGAGGTGGGGGCACAGCAGGAAGCCCCAGGTGCTTCAGGGCCCGGCCCACTCCGCTTCTGGAGCAGGGAAAAGCAGGACCTGGGGGCCTTAGGCTCCGGCACTGACCACACTAACCCCGGTTGAGGCACTGGCATCGCTGCCCAGCCGCCAACCTGTGACCACTCCTCCCTCGTGCCGTCTTGGTGGGGGGCCCTTCCCAGGTTCTGAGTCCACTCGGGCAGTGCTGGTGCCCATCCTGGCCTTTGAGGGGGGGGCCACCTGGCAGTGGGGTGCAGGCCGGGGCCCCAAGAAGGGAATTTAGGGGAGATGCTTTGTGGGCACAAGGCCTCGAGGAGAGTGGGTTCTGCCCCTGCCCAGAGAAGAAGGGCACGCAGGCCTCTGCTGGGTGACACGGGACCCAGGGGCCCCCGGAGGAGAAGGGGTGAAGCCAGCACAGTGGCCTGTAGGCCAGAGGGTGCAGGGGAGCCCAGGAGGTGGGAGGAGGCCCTGAGGACCCAGAAGGGAAGCGGGTGCAGAAGCCAGGGAGGGGCGTGGGGCAGCAGCCGCCCATGTGGACGAGGTCACAGCCTCACACCCCCCACAGCCCCTCAGGCCCCAGATACTCGACAAGTGCCCAGGGGCCGCACTCAGATAGCACACGGCCTCCGCTGGCACCATCTGGGGACAGCAGAAAAGGGCCCCGCAAGGGAGGCAGGGGATTCTAGATAAAATTCATACAAGAAGGTTGGGCGAGGTGGCTCATGCCTGCAATCCTAGCACTCTGGGAGGCTGATGCGGGTGGATCGCTCAAGGTCAGGAGTTCCAAACGAGCCTGAGCAAGAGCCCGACTCTACTATAAATAGAAATAAATTAATTGGCCGACTAATATATATAGAAAAAATTAGCCGGGCATGGTGGCGCATGCCTATAGTAGTCCCAGCCATTCGGGAGGCTGAGGCAGGAGGATCGCTTGAGCCCAGGAGTCTGAGGCTGCTGTGAGCTAGGCTGACGCCACGGCACTCACTTTTGTAGCCGGGGCAACAAAAGTGAGACTCTGTCTCAAAAAAAATAATAAAATTCACACAAGCAGAACTTTAACAAGTGGCCTTGTGGGCCCACCAGGGGGGCGACTCCCAGCACCAGGCAGAAGGCCCGGGCGTTTCAGGCCACACGCCCGCAGGCCAGGGGCCGTCAGGACCGTGACAACGTCCCCCGGGCAGGAGCACTTCCTGCCACTTACTGAGGCCGCGACCTGCTTGCCAGCCATGCTGCTCTCTGCTCGTCTTGGCAGGGCCTGGCTGGATGAGGCAACGAAGCTCTCTGGGGAGAAACGCCACCGGCCACGCTCAGAAGGGCTGCCCGTCTGTCCGCTCAGGGCGCCATGCGCTGCGCACCGGCCAAAGTCCTCTCCCCTGGAAACCGGGGCCCTGAAATCGCGCTCTGGACGTCTGCCCAGTGACCCTTTGGACTCCATGGGCTGTTTCGGCTCCCCTGGAGGCAGAGGCTGGCAGCAGCATGCCCGCGGCACATGCAGGCGCGGCCCGAGTCGACCGCCAGGCTTGCTGCCAGCTGGGGTGGCCGAGGTCCGTGCAGGGAGCCGGCTCCACTCGGACCCCACGGGTGGCTCGGGCCTCTCCCGAATCTCCGGCGCCTTCTTCCCCCCGGCACTGGGCGCAGTGGCCCAGGGCAGGAGAGGCCCTCGGGCAGGTGGTGGCTGCAGCAGGGGCAGACCAGTGCTTCCCTGGCCGGGCGTGGGCCGCAGGGACAGGTGGATGGAGTTGGCTTTGGGTTTTGTCATGGTGGGTGGGGGCCCCTGGCCGCAGGCCCAGGCTGGTGGGCACAGACACGGCTCTGGGGCAGCCACACCGCCCATCGCCACGCTTCCCTGGCAATGCCGCCCATGGGGGCTGGGAGAAGACCCTGCATCAGCG